ACACATGGATAAGTCCTTAGTTATCCATCTAACATACCCAAGCTGTAACACCAAAATTTTTGAAATTAGATTTATGTAACTGACTGCAAATCACTTCAAGTGGGAAGATTGAAAATATGGCATGAAGCACAACTATTGAAAACTTTTCTTTTGTGAAAGAAAGGTTCTCACAAGGGATGTGTAGTGAAATAATTTGTCACTTTTAGAGAAAGAAACTTTCAGTAAATGATAGACCCGAGGCTGTAAAACCTGGAAAGTAACATTCTTTGCATCCCTGAAATGACTTAGGAAACAAAGTCACATTTTAAAGAATACTTTAGGCTTATAACAGCATAAAATTAGATGGCTTTCACGTTTGAAGCTGGGATTCAGCCTTCACTGTGACTTCAGAACATTTTATTCAGAGTCTTTTTCTGGGCATTGCTTCGTATCTTTACATCCTGTCAGGTGACAGTGTGGGCAGCCTGCAGCAAATTAGGCACTGTGCATCCTGCAGGAATGAGCTGACTAATTACAGTGCTTCACATGAAGTGAAGGGAGCAAACACTGTCTTATACAAAGTATGCACAGACCATCTACATAAATATGCATAAATATCCATAATTATGTGCACACACCATATATATTTATTTATATATTTATTTATATATTTATATTTATATTTATAAATGTTTATGTAAATATAATGTAATATAACATAACATTATATTATATTATATTATATTATATTATATTATATTATATTATAATTATAAATTTTGTATCTTTATATATGTATATATGTAATTAATGGTAATCAACAAATCACCTCATTAGCAGTTCTACAGCCAAGGGAAGTCAGCAAAAGAATCCCTTCCCAGTACCACAGGCCTATTGCACCAGAAACTATGAGAAAAAAAATGTCTTAGGTAGAAATGTTGTCCCAAATAATTGAAAAATCTCTTCTGAAGAGAGCCTGAATTATTTGTTTTTTCCCCACACTCTTATTGTTTCATATGTAAAATAAGCTGTTGTCATCTTCCCGGCATTCCAAAAAAAAAAAAAAAAAAAACAAAAAAAAAAAACAGCAGGAAAACCCCATTGGTGTAACAAAAGGAGTAAATATTGGGATGGTGTCAGGCAGAGCTGCTGGCAGTCAGAGTGATGGGTGTGTTTCTGGAAGGGCCAATTTCTCTCCACATAACCACAGTCACTGTCTGTTGTAAGAGCCTAATTGATTGATAAACTGTTAGAAACATTTCTACTCTTTGGTAAAAGCTGCAATCTGCTACCAATTTGTCAGTTTGTTCTTTTAACTCGCCCCATAAAAACAAACAGAAACCTCCATTTTTATAAATGAGATTTCCCGTGTGAGACAGTCATTGTTTTGAAACTTTCAACAAAAAGTTAAGCTTAATGATGTGTGTTCCCAGATGTTACTCTGAGTTCATTTATCCCAGTATAAAGATACTTATTTCTAAAAATACATGGTAGAAGGTTGTCTCATAAAACAGCATCAAAGCTGAATTGGTTTGTTGGTATTTAATTTTTCATTACTCTGTCAAAGTTTTGCCCACAGATCTCTCTGTAATCTTTCAGATTTGCAACAAAACGTTCTTTCAGTAACATTTGTCTTAGACTTACACTAGTCCTCCTTTGGGGGCTTGTTTTCATGTACCACACTTGTTCTTTCCATCCCAAATCACAGCAGATGTTTAGGAACTGACAGGGAATTTTGTTCCTCTGCTCTCTCACACCGTGCAGTGCTGCTTTGCCACCAAACATAAATCTTCCATCAGGAGAGTCTTGTGCCACCAGGAATCCCTGAGCATTTATTTATTCCAAATTACACCAATGACGAGATTATGATTTTTTTTTCACTGGCGCTTCCTATCGCAAATTTAGCAGAAGCTTTGCAAACCTGCCATTAGCTGAAACAATTCTTAGAAATTCAGTGCAGAGCCATAAAGGATGCAGTGTGGGGAAATTAGGGCATTCATTCATTCCGCAGTCATCAGAAATTCCCTGAGAAGCCTAAATGTCTTTTTTTTTTTTCCAATGAGATCATTTATTAGAGGGTTATATTGAACATCTCAACAGAAGTAAAAGACCTCCCCAAGACTGTTTTTCCCCTCATCTGTTTGCAAAGTTTGTGCAATTATTTTTACAGCATGCTGCTTGTTTCACAAAGAAGAATTCCTCTGGGCTCTGATTTTAGCAGCATTGAAGTACCAGCAGTGAAGGCCAGCTTTTGAGAGCATCGCAACAAAGGGAAATTATTAAAGCCACACTGCTGTACTTACAAACCCCACTGACACCCAGGTATGTGCGGCGCAAGTACTGGAAAAGGTGGAGAATGGGCAAGATTTCGGAGGGCACATGAGAAAGTCCTTGTGGTGGTATAAAAGAGCACTCAAATAATTGCTGGGGGGGCAAAACTGGTGGCCAGAGTCTTGATTAATGATCCCAGCAATGAACCTCTGGCCACGTGGGAGATGTTCAGTGGGGTCATCAAGGGCCTACCACTGACTTCAGAGCAAGTTGGAAACAATTGGATGTGCGGTTGGGAGCTTTTTGTGTCCTTTTTTCCTCATGTTTCTGACTTGGAAGGCTCTGAGATTCAAAAAGAAGACTAAAAGGAAGGTAGTATATTTGTTGGCTAAAAGTTGTTCTTCTTAGCTAACTCAAAAAGTCAATTTGGAATGACTAAAAAAGAGCTGCAGGCCTTACCATTACAGATGTGAATGCAGGGTATTTTAAATGGTGAAAAGTGCTGTGACATCTCTGTAGGAAACTACACCAAATCCTTTCAGTCATTCTTAGCTTTTGAAAGCAATATAATGAAACAGCTATGGGTATAAATAACTACTGAAAAATGCAACAGATTGTCCAGAGAGTCAGTCAGACTTGAATTCAAAATGTCTAATTTATACAAGCAGCAAATTATCTCAGAAGAACCAATATCACTAAATATTATTTGCTGTACAACTCTGAATATTCAATTAAAGGGAATATATATCATAACACCAACATTATTTCTAAACTTGACCCCCAAAACCATGTTTTATATTAGCACATTCCTCTGCATTTTATGGATTATACTTAAAAGCAAAAAACTACACCAAATCCTTTCAGTCATTCTTAGCTTTTGAAAGTAATACAATGAATTAATGAACAGCTATGGGTATAACTAACTGCTGAAAAATGCAGAAAAAGTTAATAAATTCCAAAATATTATTTCTATTTTTTAAAATGGGAAAAATATATTATTGGTATTGCAAACCTTTGTATTCCTTTCTTAAAATATGAAAGTGGTATCATTTGTTTTTTGCAAGAACATTTGAAAATAAATTTAGAATTGTTAAAAAAAATTATTTGCATGAATTCTGCTACCAGAAGTATCTGTAAAAACATACATTTATTTGGTTTGCTTATGTCCATCTGCTTATGAAATTCTGATGAAAAGTAAAATATAATGTGCTTCATAAGAATCAGCAATGTGGTCTGGTGGTTACTGGGCTGTATTTAGAATTGGGGGACCCATGATCAATGCCTGGTTCACATAATGAGCTCTTTCTGTCCTTGGGACTTCACTGTTTTCCATCTCAGTATCTCCTTTTGCTCTTTTGTCCCCCTTTCACATCTAGAGTGTGGCCTGTTCCAAGCAGGACCTGCCTCAGGATCTCCATGGGGGTGGCACACACACAGCACAGAGGATGCCACTTTAGGCAGGGATGGGAATGCATCTAGCAGTAATAAATCCTCCCTGGCAAGTTTAAGAGTTGACTTCCATCTTGTTTTGCCTCCAAACACAATTTGTGATGCTGAGCTGAAATTCCCAGCCTAAGTGAGGTGATCACACCTGGAGCTGATTTTCCAATGTCAATTGCTGAATGAAGTTCTTTCATATCTGTGGCAGCAATTTTTAGGAAAAAACACTGTGGCCCTCAAGGCTGTTTCAGTGTGAACCATCACTGAAGTACCCATGCTCTCTCTACACTTGAGATTATGCCTCTCTCACCACACTGGATTTATGTAGCATTTCCATCCCAGGGAACCCCTGCCCATACAAAACCCTCTGTTTCAGTGCATGGCCAATGCAACTGTGCTAGCAAACAAGATCCAGGCAGTAAAATAATTGCATTGTTTCTGTTACCACAGAATTCTACTCTCTCTGCCCAGTGCAGGACTGAAAGCACACATGGGTTTAGAGGAGGAAAATTCAGTCTTATTTTGGGGACTAGAGAAGAAGGTAGATTTTATTGGATTGCCATATTGGTATATTGGATTTTTCTGCAACACAGGGGTATAATCTCTCCTGAGGTAAGTATATATGATGCAGAAAGATTTGTTACACTTTTTAAAGGACAAGCTTTGACAGCTATGAGTATTGGTGAACACAAATCAGCATAGCTCCATGCATGATGTTTATTGTTACCATGAGAAGCAATTCAGTCATGGTTGTAGACAGGAAACTTCTTCTTCTGAAGCTCTTTGTAGTTACAAAGAGACAGTTGTGCATCTGCTAAGAAGTGCATTGTGTACTACTATGTGTATTTCACTAGAGCTGGGGTCAAATAAGTGATTTGGGGTTCACTGGAATAAATATCTGGAAGTGCTGTGGAAGTTGAGCAATGCAGTTCTGTCCCATCATAAGCCCAGACATCCCTTGTTAGATTTTTGCAAATTGGATGAAAAACAGTGATTTTCAGCTAAACAGATCCAGCAAGGTCCTCTCTGTTATCAGGGCTAGAAAGAAGGCTTAGGAAGCAGAAATTTTTACAGGAGTACCTGTAATTCATGGTACTATAGGTACCATATATACATGGCCAGCTCTGAGTAAAAAGAAACGGAGGAAAATGGTGAACAGATGGGTTGATGTGGGTGCGGGATAACATCAGAGAGAGGGGTGAGCTCTCAGAGAGAGGGGTGAGCTCTCAGGAAATGCCTCCTGCCACCAAGCCAGCCTCCCCCCCATCCTCCAGCACACAAGTTCCCATCCCTCATCCTTTCTGGAATACCTTTCTTCCAGCCTCATTGTTGTGCAAGTTCATCAGCCTCCGTGCATTCTTTTTGATTTCTCGGGCATCAACAAACCTCCGGGAGAACTCAATGCCGTATCTGATATCCGCAGAGCAGCCTCCCCACTTCCAGCCCTCCTCCTGGTTGTAGTAGCCCTGTTTCTCTCGGTCACAGCCACAATTGCTGAGGTTGCCCTGGCTGCAGGCGGCCGTGACAGCGTGCGCGACCCCGGCAGCGGTAATGGCATAGGTGAACGCGGCCTCCCTGCTTCCTGTGGAGAGAAGCCAAAAGCTGATGGGTTGGCAGAAAGGCAGCTGAAGAAAGCACACACACACACATCATCTACAGCAAGGGGGGTCAGGCAGCAACGTGAGGTGAGGAGGGGCATCATTCCTCAGGGTGGATTTCTCATCTTACGGAATTCCACGCGAGTTTGAGATGCTTGGCTCAGCTCGGGGCAAATTACCCCAGGTATGCAGGCATGGGATAGTCCCAGCAAACCCCTTCACCAGAGGGGAACTTGGCAGTGAATCTGCACAGTGCTGAGGTGAGGCCACAGGATTTGTTTTCACACTGTCTAGTCAGGTTTGCAAGCTTGAAGTTTATGTGTTTCAGATTAATAAAAAGTGAGTTGACAGCTACCCCTAAGCATTGGCACTGCATGGAAAAAGAGAACTGTTCAGATAACAACAAACAAACAAAAAATCCTAGGACACAAATGGGACTGATTATTAATCTAACTTTGGATGATTATTTATCTAACACTAATGGATGCTCCAGTAGCATCCATTACTGATGCTGAATGTAAAGTACTGCAAGAGAGACCTATAGAGACAAGAACTGGGTAGGTTTCATTTTCTTTAAAGGCAGATTCCCCCTTTCCCTTGCAGACCTCTCCTGTGCATTAGTTTTGTTGAAGTGACCCTTTCCCACTCCCACTCTGACCCAAACCTCTGCATTACCGTGGCTATTGAGCATACAAAGGGCACAGAAGTGCTGTGACAGCACTATTTTCTCTCCAGATTAGGTGAGATACTGTCCTGGAACCACAGACTTATTTTGAAATAATAGCTGGTTTAGAAAAGGAGTTCTTTTTTGGTTGTTTTGGGGGTTTTAGGGTGGGGTTTTTTTGGTGTTTTTTTTTTTTTTCTGTGATGCTGCTACTTGCAAAGGTTCCTGGTTGCCAATTCCATGCAACAGCTGTCGATAATGAGTGCATGAGGAGAGGTGAATAAGGTGAATATGAGGAGAGGTGAATAAGGCTCCTTTCTACACTGATTGCCTGAGGTGCCTGTGAGGTGCAAGGAGGCAGAATGGTGGCAGGGGAAGATGCAGCCCATCCCTGCTCTTGTGTGAGACCACTCTGTCACTGACTGCACACAGGGCTGGGTCGAGGTGTTTTGCTGCTGTTATTTATGACACTTCCACACAAGTTCCCTTCTCAATTCTTTCCCCATAAGTTCCCTTCTCATTGATTTCCTCAGTGCGTTTCTCTGGTAATAAACAGACAATCCTGTACTGCTGCAGGCAAAGAGTAACTGTAAAGAATTTGCAGAAAGTTGCTGAAATGCTCTAATGACCACACACAGAGCTCTAGCATCATTAGTGGATTTGGGAAGGGAAAAAAAAGAACAAATTTTTCAGAGGAGGAAAAAAAAATAAAACCAACTTAGAAGCTAGTTTTAATTTTTTAATTTTTGGATTCATAGATCTCATAATTATTCTGGAATGATAACTCCACAGTGTGGGGGGAATTTATATTTCTTATTTTCACAGTTAGCTTCCTGAAAGATTACACCATTGCCAGATATGAGGAAGATCCTGCAAGAAACAATCAGAAACGGAGGTTTGGCACCATTCGCTTGTTTCTCCAAAGAAATAAAAAATAAACTTTGGGTAGGGAAAAAAACAAAAGGGTTTTGTGTTGTTCAGCTCCCAAGAAGGTTGAGTTGGCATGTGCATTATTTGAGAAGATGGTGCAGTTGCAGGAGTGCCTCTGTTTCAGACCCAGCCGTGTTTTGTTGGGGTGTACGATGTGTGCAGTCTGGTTCAGTGCTTCCCAAAAATGCTCTGCAGAACACTGGTGGTCCAGGAGGCCACGCTAAAGGGTTCACAGCTAACCCACAGAGCCATGTTAAACACTATTTTAAATAGTGTTTTCAATTAAAAGCTTGATGATAACGATACCTGGTGGTCTGTAAGAAATTTCTGAGGGTTTATAGCAATCCAAACCAGCTATGGGACCACTGTTCCAGCTCCTAGTGTGATCTTCACATGTTGATATTCACTCCTCTCCTCTCTGCCTGCCAGCTAAATTCAAATCTGGGACTCTTCTTTTAAAATTCTTAATTAAAATTATTAATGTGTCAAAAATTATAATGTGTTTACAATTATTAATGTGTTCTGTTGAGTTGCATGATTACTTTCTTTCTTCTTTTTTTAAAAAATTCTATTTCTAATCTATAAATGGAAATATTGGAAGTATGAGATGTAATAGAAGCTACATTTATAGATACAGTTGGCTTTTCTTCAGGATGAGGGTAAACAACAATGCAAAACCAGACCCAGGGAAATTTTTGGTCAGATACCTTTGAAGTATATCTAGAAAGGTTTATCAACAAGATGAAATTAATTCCTGTGAGGGAACACAGCAGCTGTGACCTACAGTTCAGGAGATCATTTACTCAGAGGTTTAGTGACAGTTGCTCATATTTTGTGTTTCAGCTCAATATATTCCCCATGTCTCCAGAGCACATGGTAAGACATTTTATTACAGCCACTGAGTCTGTGCCTGCTTTGTCAATTTTTACACGTTGCTCCCCTAGGTCAGTTTTATAAAATGAAAGAAACTCATGTCTTTATCTTCCTTTCCCTCTCCCTCATTCCCATTATACCCCTGACTATTATCAACAATAAAGGAAAATATCTTTCCTTTATCCATTTGAGAGCTAGCAGCAGTGATGGAATTTTCTCAAGTCATGGGATAATATCCAATGGAAACCAGACTGACTCTCTGAAGAGATTACTCTCCTGTTTCAATGCAGCTCTAAAATAAGAAGGTCTCAGAAATTAGCAAGTTAAGTTGTCCTGCTAAGAATTAAAGTTTTGTGGGTATTTTTAAACTAGAATAAGTTCTAAAACTTCTCTAGTGTTCCTGGACAGTTCACTAAGGTCCCAGGATCAGTGGAGTCTATCACAAACTGCTGATGGAGGAGGGAAGGGAACCTCTGTGCTCAAATAATATCTGCTGTACACAAAGATTTCATTAGCATGTCATCACTTGGAATCAGTTCTAAGCAACTCTTTGTCAGGCAGCTAAAACTATTTAAGTAATGATTGCTGTGATACCTTAATGGAGAACAATAATCTCATTTTACGGAATTTTTTGAGATTTCAAAAATATTCTTGGTCTGCAACAAAAAGGAGACAGGCCTTTCCAGAAATGTTCGTGAAATGAAGATATAAGTAGCAGCAGATTTGGGGTTTACCCAAATTTGGGACTGCATATTTCTTTTTCCAGTGAATATCCTGATTATCTAGTTATTTGGCACTGTATACACTCAGTTTCTTAGAGGAAAAAATCTTGTCTGACTTCCAAAGTTTTCTTTCACATAGACCAGAAAAATTCTGTTGAGATTTTTATTTTGGTGGAAAAGACACTGCTTTGGCTTTATTGCAACCCTTGGATTTGTCCATTTCTCTGTTAGAAATGCCTGCCTTGGTGTCAAAGATGTTGACAGTTCTGACTTTATTCCCAAAACATAGAAGGGATGTTTTTATGAGTATAACATGAACTAGTAACTATGTGATCTGATAACTGTCTAATCTAATAACTCCAAAGGGAGATTACTGCCAGTATTAATTAAAATTAAGCCTTTTTTCTTTGGTGAAGGTGCTCAAGGCCACTTCTAGCAATCTGCCAGGCTATCAGAGGAGTCTGTCATTTGCCAATCTGAGTTATTGCCATTTTCTTGAGTTTATTTGCATTCTAACAGAGAGCTATACTTTAAAAGTGTTCTAATAGCCAGCAATGCAGGCATTAGATTTTGGACCACTGATTCCTTAGCACTTGTCTTCTGGCTGATAGGCAGAGAGGAGCCTTTATCTGTCCTTGGAGCCATGGAGTAGCCTGTGTTTTACCCCTCTTTTAGATGTCATTTCTGGCTAAATTTAAGACTTCTAACTGAGCACTTAACTTAGCAGGGTTTGATGTGGAAATTCTGACAAGTTCCACAATTGCTGTAGTTTACCAGACTCCAACGTGCACAGATTCAGCAGAGGATTTCCAGCCTGGAGCCACAATCAGCTGAGAATCACATAGGATAAACACATATTCAATTATCCAGCTGTGAGCACAGGGTTAAAGATTGGACTGTTCCACAGCTGTTTGCAAGACATCTATTTTGTCAGAGTAATTAGATGAGAATTCTGCTATTGCACACATCATCCCTGAAATTACTCATGTCAGCAGCTGGATGAATCAGGCTGCCACTGAATGTCAGCCATTAGAACTGTAATTTATCTTGAAATATTTAACTGCACAACATACAGTGTTTGGCCAGCAGTTTCCTAGATCTTGCATCAGCAATGATAGAAGAAAGTAATGAACACTGTTATTAAACAAAACAAATTTTTCATGCACTTGCACAAGACACCAGATTGATTATATGACACAATACAACATAGGTCAATGGCAAAAAGAAATGAACCACAGAATAACTAATTTTTTTTTTTTTTTGACAAACCTACCCTTTTTAACAAGTCTGGTAAGATGATGACAGATTGAGTCATTTTTTATGGCAAAAGACAATAGATACATCTGGATGAGTAAACTACAACTCAGACAACAGCACCCTAAGTAGTGTTGGATGAAGACTTTTACAGACAAGTTTATTTCCTTTGTAATTTTGTATTTTATTCAACACACATATTAACAATTGTCAAGGAAAATAGTGCAGGCTCTTCATTTTGGGTTTGATCCTAGGGCAGTAAAGTCAGAGGGAGTTTTCTCACTGTCTGGAGCAGACCCTTTATTTGCATTTTCAGTGTAATTAACTTTGAGCTTCTTGGTTTATAAAAGCAGGGACTAATTTAATTTAATTTAATTTCTCTGTCCCTCTAGCTTTCTGTACCCAGAGCTACATGTCAGAACTAAAGGCTACTGAAACCACTTGGTGCAGGCAGAAAAATTAAGGCAGAGGAGCAGAAAACCCAGGAGGGTCTCTGCTCTGTCAACCCTGACATAGGCTAATAAGACAGATGTTCCTCACA